TATCTGAATACCCTAGGTTAAGCTATAATTTCACTTTTTCTGTATGCCAAAGTATTACCTATCCTTAAATATATGTATCTATCTAAATATATATTTGTATGTATGTGTATATACATATATACATGCATTCACATAGATGTTTAATTAGCTTTAAAATGTTAACTCATTTCAGCATATTCCTAAAGTTATCTTAATGAGCTTCTGCAAAACTTAGAAGTGTTCCGTTTATTCTTTTTCATTCACCTCATTTAGACAGTTTAAATCCTTTTTGTTCTTTAAAAATTAAATTGTAAGACTATTGGTTTACATAATTTTGGAGTTTGAGAAAAGTTTGTTTAGAGGTAACACATGAGCTTTTTTAATACCTTAACAAGTACCTTCTTGCATAAGACAGCAAATAGCTCTTTCTTCTCATTTGGGAAAATTTCTTCTCTGTACTTGGCTTTCTTTCATGTTTTGCATAATAGCTCCACTTCATAAAATTACATTCTCTTTTCTAGTCGCCGAGATGACATGGAATCATTAGGATATGTTTTGATGTATTTTAATAGAACCAGCCTGCCATGGCAAGGACTAAAGGTAAATCATACTTACATTACCAGTTTGGGGTTTTTGTTTAAAGAATAGAAATACACATTGGAGAAGATAACATTTAAGATCCTTCCAATTCTGAGATTTTTCTAAGATTGAACTAACTTTAATTTACTTTTGCCTTTTATTTGGGAAAATAAAACCTCATCATTTCAGTAAGAACTTAATTAATAGAAGCCCACAGTCACAGTTGAAGAACAAGTTCCTTTGAAGACAGTAAACTGGTACCCATTGGTAACCGCTTGCTCTATCTAGATGGAAACTGACATGGGCTAAGAAAGGTGGAAACTTTGCTATTTTGATGGGTTGTCATTATGTAAAAAATGTTTTTATGTACTGTAAAACCTGTTTATCCAACAATACTAGCTGTATTATTTATGCAATTATTCTAACATTTTATTTGTTTCTATTAGTGGGAGTTTCACCATTACTTTTGTGAGTGTGTAATGATAAATCACTGTGTCTTAAAATGTAATGTCTATTTTGATACTTTATTGGTCCTTTAAAAGGAAAAGGTCCCTGTATTTATTGAGAGGCTGCAAGCTAGGCACAGTGCTCAGTTCTTATGTGGGTAGCTTTATCCAATATGAATATTGTTACATTGGAATACTGTTGGCGATTTACAGTTAACTCCAGTTATTAATGTCACTAAATAATAAACACATTTTTTTGTATTGGTCTGCTTTATGCCTTTGCCTTTGTGTCGATCATGGATTAAGAAAATGTGCTTAAGCTGGGTGTAGTGGCATGCCTCTGTAGTCCCAACTACTTGGGAGGCTGAGGCGGGAGAGTCGCTTGATGCCAGGAGTTGAAGGCCTCGTTGGCCTGTGATCAGGCCTGTGAATAGCCACTGCACTCCACCTGGGCACCGCAATGAGACCCCGTCTCTAAAAACAGCAACAACAAAAAAGATAGAAAATGCTTGCTAAATTTGACACCACCTATTTTTACTTAAATCTCACCTCCTCATGATCCTATTGACTCACCCTTTCCTAATAGCTAAAATTATGTTCTTGAAGTAGATACATCAAAAGTTACCTAACAGTTTAGGGGAAAAA